GCAATGAAAAAACTGAAAAACATAATAGTGCACAGTATCCAGACTCTCTGTGTATTTTCCATCTTTATGTGGCTTATTTATTTATCTATTATTACTTTATTTATTTTACTTTTATTTATTTTTCTTTGAGACAGGATTTCTCTTTGGATATCCGCCTGCCTCTGCCTCTGGAGTAAATCCTACCGGAGTGCGCCACAACAATGCCGGCTTTTGTATTTATTTACCACTTTGCCATTTCATTTTCTTTCTCAATCTCACGTATATTTTTAAACACACTGTAAACCTTTAGAGGTTTTGTTCATCCAAGTCTGACTTTACTGTAAATCTTTACGTTTTTCTGGCCATGTGTCTTATCTGTAAAACCGCGGCTGTTTAAACTGCCGTTTCTAAGATGATGGCGTAAGCGTGACTCCAGCTTACCGCCTCAGTCCATGCTGACATCCAGCAAAAGCTGCCACTTCCAGCTGTACGTACACACCTTTAAATCGTTAGCAGAGTCTCTTAAAACAACCTTGCTGTTTTTTTTTTTTTTTTATGCCGAGTCAGGAAGACTCCGGTAAGTGAGCCACGTGAACCTCGGCTTGTCGCTAGCAAAACAGAGCACACCTGAGAAAATGCTGCTACCAAAATTCTGTGCTTCTCTCTGTTCTTCTGTTTCTAAAATTCCTTTAAATCTTTTGTTATTTTGCGTGGAAATTCAATCCCGCTCCTGACAACCATTTTGTAAAGAGAAGCTTTTTCTTTGAGAGAAGCCTTCCCACCAGCCTGGTTCTAGAGCCGCATCAGTCCCAAATAAACACACAGGAGACTATATTAATTATGAAGCTGTTGGCCTTGCTTGTTTCTTACTGGCTAGCTCTAACTTAAGTAATTACCCCATAATTGTTAATCTAAGTATTTCTCTTACCGGAGAATAGTTCCGGGCTTCCTACCCCATGGCAGTTACATCTGGAACTCTCTGTGTTCCTCCTTCCCAGAGTTCTCCTGGACTCCTAGTCCCATCTATCTAGATTCCCTATTGGCCAGACAGTGCTTTATTGACAAATGCACAGGACTTCCCCAACACCCCTCCATCTCCTGTCTCCTCCCCCTCCCCTCCATCTCCTGTCTCCTCCCCCCTCCCCTCCATCTCCTGTCTCCTCCCCCCTCCCCTCCATCTCCTGTCTCCTCCCCACTCCCCTCCATCTCCTGTCTCCTCCCCACTCCCCTCCATCTCCTGTCTCCTCCCCACTCCCCTCCATCTCCTGTCTCCTCCCCACTCCCCTCCCCTCCGTCTCCTCTGCCTCCCTCTTACTGCTGTCCATCTACCCTAATAACCCTCCTTTTGCTTCCATGTCACATAAATCTCATTACACTTTTCTACACCCATCTTTTGTTTTATACATTATTATTTAGGAGTTTACTTCCTAGAAGTCTTCATGTAACTGTAGATATTTATTTGTAAAACAAATCTATAAAAGTGACATTTTCCCCCAAGTTATGACAGTGAATCAGGGCTTCAAAACTCTGTCCCTACAAGGGGGAGGGCACAGTAGATATAGTATGGTAGAGAATTTGCCACAAGCATGCTTTACAACCAAAGGTTGATTTATGGGCAGTGGTAGTGCACTTTATCCCCCAAACTCTTTGAAACTATAACTTCAGTTTTAGACTTCAAGGTGTTAATTGAAGAATCCATATGTTAATGCAATGGATTATTTATTGGATGTTTTCAAAGGCAGCTTACTTTTTGAGTTTTATTAATGACTGTTAATAAGCAGTTGGTAATTAGATTTTGACTCTAATGCTCCCATTTAGGTTACTGATCAGATAATACTGTTTCTTCAGAAAAAGAGGCATCTGTGAGATTGTTTGCTGTTATTCTGTATTATTAACACCTTAGTGAGTTGAGCATTGTATGTTTATTAAGTCATTCTACACCAGATAGAAAGGCAGATGGGTAGCGTGGAGTTTAAAATCTGTGAAAGTAGAAAACAGATGGGTGATTTAAATATCTCAGTGAAAATGTATGTGTGAAGAGATGACTTCTGAAGTTAGAAAAAAATTAAGAATGAGTGAGGAATTCTAGAGTTAAAGTAAAAAGAAAATACCCACACACAGTAGTTTAAAGGAGGGGACATTAAGTGTGGAATTAGTTGAGCTGACTCATCAATCAGTACTTTTAAAGTACAAGTAAAGAGTGTGAGATTATACCACAGTAATCAGATACTCTTGATAGGTAACTATTTTGTTTTCTTCTGAACATGTAGACTGTGGAAGGGATCCTTTTGACTTGAACTATTTCTCGACAACTGTACATGGTCTTGTGAATTGTGTTGTCAGAATTAAGTTGTTTAATTTCAAGTAGCAAACTAACTTTTAAAAACAGTGAACTGAAACAGGAGAGAAACCAGCATACGCATTGAAGCGGTCAGAGGGCTGTCCTGGCTGCCTGTGTGACAGCAGCTAAAACATTTCACTCTCACTCAGGTGGCAGGGCCACTTAGCTTCCAGTCAAGACTGGGCAGGTGTAAGCCTTGGGTTTTGGATGTCACCTTCCTCCAGGACTTTGCTGCTGTGGGTGGGAGGAACAAGTAGTCATTTTTAGGGAAGCTTCCAAGGCTGCCTGAAGATGTGTGTGTCAAGTGATTGACCTTAGGACCTGCAGTGAACTGTATTTCTGCAAGAAGGGTGCTCATGCTAGTATCCATGGATAGAAATGCTGTATGTCTGTTATTCTCAGAAAAATTATACATTATTCTGTCCAAGAATATATTCATCGGGATGTTAAAAGTCATTCTTAATTAATATTGAAATGATTTAATTGATAAGTAATAAAATTATTTCAATGGCTACCAGACAGTAATAAGTTCTTTCATATTAAGTTGTACCATTACTAACCTGTATGATTATTGTACTGAATCATGACGTAAAATGTCTTATCCTATTGTAGTCAAACACTATAAAAATCCCATTTTTTTTTTGCAGTTTAATTTTTGTCAGAATTGAGTTGCTCTTTTCTGCCCTCTCCACCTCAAATTCAGAGAAATACAATACTGGGGTAGCATTTTGTAAGATAATTTCTACGGTTATTAAAATTCTTGTGTGTCAGAACTAGCTGTTAGTGGGGCAGCACTTCCTCTGTAAAATAACTCTGTTCATCGTAGGAGAGCTCCATGGTGGTTCTGGCTTTTGGGGGATTCCATAGAGACATACTAGTCCACAGGGAGGGTGATTTCCATTTTATTTTTATATTTTAGTAGATCTCTAGGTAGTTAATGTGTTCTTTGACAAATCAGTGCCTGTATATGAAGTATCTTGAATCATAGCCACTCTCCATTCAGCTCTCCCAGGCCCCCAACACGTTTCCATCCCTCTGTCATGTCTTTTCTATTTTTCTTTTTCTTTGAGAACACTGCCCACTGAGTACAGAGAGGTACCCGTGCACACGGATGTCCTTATACACGGGTGTGGGATTAACCATTGGCGCATGGGCAAGGTATTAGCAGTCCTACCCTCAAGAAAAAGCCTCCCCCTCCTGCAGTAGCCATCAGCTGCCACAGGGTCATCAACTGTGGGCGGGGCTTAAGGACTGCCTCCCCATCCACACCGGATTCTCTGCTTGTGCAGGAACCCATAGCTGCTGTGCGTTCCTGTGTGGAGTGCCATGTGTGTCTAGAAGGTGGCGTGTCACGGTGCTTCGGCCAGCCCTTTGGCCCTCACGTCCTCTTTGGCTTTATGTCTCCGTGCCTCAGAGTTGGAGGGGGTGTGAGAAAGGCAAGGGAGTTGCACTTATTCTCCGGAGTAGTTGGGAGGATGGTGTCTGAGTCTCTGTGAAAACAGCCCCCTTCCTTTGATTTTTCACTGGGACTAGAGAGGTTCTCCAACAGGTGAGAACAACAGGTAATTACTGAGAGCGCCTCTTGACAAAAATTCCTAAGATCGGGCTGCAGAGATGCTCAGGGTTAATGGAAGGACACTTGCTGCTCTTCTGCAGGCAGGATCAGAGCTCTGTTCCTAGCACCCACAGCAGCTGACTCACCACCGCCTTCTCTGGCGCTGCCCCTCTCTGATCTCCATGAGCACCCCTCAAACATGGCAGCCACACAGAAGACAAGCATGCAGACACACAGACACTCAGACACACACAGAGACAGACACAGACACACACACACAAACAAATAAATCTGAAAAAATAATGGAACTTCTCTTTCTAGGGTAGGATTTCACTTGCAGAACTTTCTTCAAAGAAGGAAAGAAATTAATAAATATTTAAAAATATTCTTTAAATTGATAAGTCATATTTACTAATTTTTCCAAAAAAATCTGTGGCTATTAGTTGATATATTCAATTACTTATATTGGCAATATACAGATATTTAAAAATGATTTCTGTGATGAAGAACCACCACAAGTTTTCGATTCATGACATTTGTCAGTGCTTGGTTGGCAAGTCTGAGTTGTCCTACCTCCAAAGAGGTCTCCCTTCCTCTTCCTGAACTTTGCTTTCTCTCTACTTCTGCAACGCCGCTTATTTTTTCTCAGTATTCTTCAGAGTCCCTAGCATACAGCACAGAAGTGTCCAGTTGGCAACACTCACCATGAGGAGGCCATGCTGTCTGCTAGCCTTCCTATCCATGCGCATGGTTTAAGTGTGTTTTCTCCGCCAAGCCTCCTCTATAACTCTGTCTAATGAGATCTTAGGCACAGCCCTGAGCTGTTCTGTCGGCATGCTTTCCTGCGTACATACTGTCATGTGAGCCGCTGTCCTGACACGCTGTAGGCGCCTCTGGAGAGGAGAAGGATGGTGTGTCTGCGTCTGTGCGTCTGACTCGGGCCAAGCCTGTGCCGCACAGGAACTCAGTGCTGAGCACTGACCGATAGTACTTGGCATAGCACTCTGCGCACAGTGCACAGTCAGCAGAGTTGGCTCTTCACCGGGTGTGGGGACTATCAGCTGTGTAGATTGCATACACTGGCGACAGGTCTTACCTCTCTGCTGTCTTCAATGTCTTCTTCAGGGAAGGAAACCGAAAAGGCCAAGGAGCGCTATGACAAAGCTACGATGAAGCTTCACGTTCTGCACAATCAGTATGTGTTGGCCCTGAAGGGGGCCCAGCTCCATCAGAGTCAGTACTACGACACTACCCTCCCTCTGCTGCTGGACTCTGTGCAAAAGATGCAAGAAGAGATGATAAAGGCACTGTAAGAGACATTTCCTGCACATCAGAGTCCCTTCAAAACAAGAGTCAGCCTTTCTCCCACAGTTGAACATTTGCTTCAGAAACCTCACTATTACCTAGACCACTGGGCATCTCGGTCCCAGGGGTTTAACTTTCTTCCTGAGTTCTACTTGTGGTGTTCCTTTACTTGTGCTTGTGACCCAGCATTCCCGAAGGATAGACCTCTGTATATTGTATTTGTTTACTTTGCTGCTCCGGTTAGCTGTGTGTTTAAATGAGAAACAGTGTGCTCAGTGAATGAATACCTGCTTGCGATGTATATGTGGGCCAAGTTTCTTACCCTTCAAGGCGTTAGCACATATATATTGTCATATATATATAGGAGCAGAAGATGATGGGCCATATTTGATGGACTTCCCTACCTTTATTTTCTGGTTGAACATTTTGCAAATCTTTAGATTCAATCTTCTTTCACTGAAAATGTGTGTGTGGATTTTTTTTTCTGATTCAATTTAAATGCTTTTGTCCCTGACACGATTTTCTGTCAAAATGAAGCAATTAGTTGGGTGTGTCCATACAGACCTTTATTCCCAGCACTCAGAGACAGCCTGGTCTACGTAGTGAGTTCCTGTCTAGCTAGGGCTATATAGTGAAACCCTGTCTCAAAAACCAACCAGCCAACCAACCAACTAACCAAACAAAAAAAGACCTCTGGAGTAATTGAGGTAAAGTACAAGGGAAGTTTATAGGTAGTGATTTTGATTCATAAGTAATTACTTCAGACAACAGACAAACTCTGTTTTATGTTTATCTGAATATATGCAGAATAGGCTTATTTTCCCATACTTGCTTTGAAACCAGTAATAACTAGCATTTATAAGGCCCAACCCTTGAAAGTAGGGGATCTTGTCTGTGAGGCAGAATTCTTTTCCTTTCTCTTTACATTAACAAGCTAATAACCTTTTGATGAAATTTTTGCTGCAGATTGGATGTCAGGAGAAGAAACATAATATATATGTGTATGTATCTCCATCCCCATCACTAAGAGTGGGACCTTTGAGGAGTGTCATACACTAGAAAGAAACAGTAATAGGTGTTGGTCAGAGCTCTGTGCCACAGAATCCAGTGTTTCTATACAAATATTGAAGAATAGAAAGTTACCAATTCTGGCTGTCCCTGCCTTTTGAACATATCAGATACATATCTGAATTGCTAGTGACGTTTTTAAATTATTGCACACTTAAATAACCCCTTCATGGTCCATGTGTATGAAATGAGGTGACTGCTTTTCTTATGTTTACTGTTCTGAATCCTTTCTGGGTTTGTTTCTCTTGACAAAACATTAAAGAGTATGATTTTATTTTTACTTTCAGGAAAGGTATATTTGATGAATATAGCCAGATAACCAGCCTCGTTACAGAGGAAATAGTGAATGTCCATAAAGAGATTCAGATGTCCGTCGAACAGATAGACCCTAGCACAGAATATAATAACTTCATAGATGTTCACAGGTACGATATTTTCATTCCTTTTAAGCTATTTATGAAGATACTGTTTTAGTAGAGTATAATAATCTTATTAGAGCAGAGTTTATTTTATATGAATTTTATTTTTAAAAGATGTCAAAGCTGCAACTAATTTGTAAGATTATATTTAAGACTCTCAACTGACATGTCATTATTTAAATCCATATTTAACCTATGAAGTTGTATTTTCTTGACTTTTACATAATACATGACACATATAGCTTATATGTGTATTAATTTTCTGAGGCCACCGATTACTTTCCCCTGCATGCATCTTGTTTTATACTTTAAAAATTGTGATGGAGATAAATTGGCTTAATGTGTGCGTGTATTCTACAGATGAAGAAACCAAGACTCAGGTTACATAGCTAGATCTTTAATGCCTAGGGTTCTTCTCTAAATTATACTATTGTCTTGATTTTGTTAGCATAATTTAGAATAATATTAAATATTTTGCCTTTGGCATGCACTGAGAATGATTATGATAGCATATTAATATTGATTAGAATTATTTGGCATATTTTACTAGAACAACAGCTGCTAAAGAACAAGAAATTGAATTTGATACTTCCTTATTAGAAGAAAATGAAAACCTTCAGGCAAATGAGATCATGTGGAATAATTTAACAGCAGACAGTTTGCAAGTAACGTGAGTACTTAGAAAATCACAATAGTGTTAAATAAGTGTTATCATTGCCTTAGAGTTATTGTATTTCATCACCTTTAAATCCTCTATGTTTTGCAAGTGATAAATGTAAGTTTGGTCCGAATGATGTATTTCTTGTGTGCTTATGTTTTGTTTTCTGTATGTATGTGTGTGTGTGTTTGTGTGTGTGTGTGTGTGTGCTGTGTTTGTGAGATGTGCAGGGTGCATTCATGCACAGAGGCCAGAACTCTCAGCCTCACTGTCGTGATTCTCACCCTGAACTGGAAACTCACTGTTAGGCCACGCTTGTTGAGTCAGCATGTGGATTCTGCCTCTTGTGCTGGAGCACATGATGTGCCTCTCGTGGGCTTTTCTGTGGCACTTAGGATGGAACCACACAGCACTGAGCCAGCTCTGCCACAGATGCCATATTTTGGGAAACATTAATTTTTGTCATCATTATTACTAATTTTAGTAATTTTAAAAATCTGATTTTTTGTGTGGTGATACATTAATTTTGCACTGGTTGCCAGTGTAGTAGAATGATGATTTACTCTTTTAAAATTTTATATCTAGTTTATCTTTTGTTCTCAGCGCTTTGTGTTAGAGCCATTTTAGCGGTATGGACACTACGTATGAGAGGTGAGAGTCATTGACATCACAACATTTAGCCTAAAACTTTACTCTTGAGTAATTCTTTTCTCTTGAAGCAAGGGTATATTCAATTTTAAATGACTAAAGCAGCTCCTTTGCCTTGTTGTTTTGTGTAAACTTCATGGGAGTTTTGAGAGATGCTAATTTTTTAGTACTCTTCAAATATTTAAGGCAATTAAAAGTACTTTGTGAATTGTGAAACCATGATTAAGATCCTGTATTGTTAAACATTTAAGCTATGTCATGGCTTTCCTCAGGGATTAGAAAGAAACATTTATTGCTAAGCATTATTAAAGGTAGTAAATATTCAATTCTTGCCAGTATTGGGCATGGAATATTACTTTGCTTGTTAAAATTTCCCCCTGATGATTCAGACAAAAGTCCTCATGAATAGAATTAATCTCTTATTCAGAAATAGTACAGTGGTACAGATACTCTATTAGGGGAGGATTATAGGCTTTTTCCTTAGGTTGGAGCTGAAATATTTAAAGTTGGCCGTATAGAATTGAAGGAGCTAGCACATGCTCTTCTATCAAACACTTGTTCTTAGTGAAGCCTTGATAGTCGATGAGGACTGATAACTGCTGAAGGAGTTGAAGGCTTGGTGCCTCCTGCATCACAACGATGAGGGAGTTGAAGGTATAGTGTCCCTTATGTCAGAGCGATGAGGGAGTTGAAGGCGTAGTGTCCCTTATGTAAGAATGATGCAGGAGTTGAAGGCTTGGTGCCTCCTGCATCACAACGATGAGGGAGTTGAAGGCATAGTGTCCCTTATGTCAGAACGATGAGGGAGTTGAAGGCATGATGTCTTCTACTTTGGAGTGGTTTTCTTAACAGCGCTTGGAGCTATTCCATAGGTTTTTCATGCCCTCTGCCTTGATTTGGTCATGGGTGTTTTCAGTATAAACCATCTGTAAGCTAGTAGTTCTTACTGGTCTGATTTTGTCCCCAGGGGACATTTGACAGCTGGGATGCAGCTGCACATTCTATCATGTAAAGGCAGCCTCTTAGAAAAGAGTTTTTGGCAACAATTTCAGTAGCCAGAGGTTGAGAAACCCCCCTGTGAATGATAGAGAGTGTTTACAGTACAGGATGATTGGTAGACCTTACAGAGTGGTATGACATCCCATTTCTTGATTCATGTGCTTCATGTTAAAGAAATAGCATCCCTGAATTTTTTGTTATCACTTGCTCCCCTAGCTTTATTCATTGAAGTGTTTTATCATCAATTTAAAGTTGTATGATTAATACTCTGAAGAAGTTAGTACCAAAATTGATCATTTATTTTAATGAATAGCAAATAGAATGAAAATATAGATACTGGGATCTAATGTGGTAATATTAAAAATAGCTACCTGTTAGGAGTTTATGAGCAGAGATTTTCACGGCCAAATGATTTGTTTTATTGGCTTTCAGAGTCTAATGAGAGTCAGCAATGTCTAAAAGTGAGGACGTTCTCTGGTACAGCCATTTCTGGTGTTGTGGCTCTCAGGGTCTTTGCACCCTTCTTTCCCAGTGTCTCCTGTGCTGGATGTAGCTGTGACGTAAATGTATCTGTGGGCGCTGTGCTCACCACAACTTGTGGAATTCTGTGTCCAATTGTGGTTTTCTGGAGTGGCCCCATTTGCTGTGAAGAGAGGCTTCTTTTGTGAAAGAAAGGTTAGGAATTTAACTGCTCCTTTCTGTGGTTGTAAGGAATCATGCTGGCCTGGTAAAGTGGCCACAGTAGATTCTTTCCTCACTAGCCCTGGGAAGTCAGCTAGGTCTCTAGTACCAGACATCATCTGTCTCTTACTGATGGGCCTTAGTCCCAATTGTTTAGCTTTGATTGCCAGCCAAGTGTGATCGCTCCCCTTTGCACCTTCATGCGTCTCTCATCCGGCAGGCGATTGTCCTGGAACATGGATGTTGCATCAGGGTGAGACTGGTCGCCTCCTGCTCGTGGCAGCTTGTGCAGTGTTTTCTGTAACCATGGAAGCTAGACTGGTGGGAAGAGGCTTCCAGGTCAGATTCAGCTCTAATTAATGACCCGAGCCTGGTGTGTGCTGTCTCCAGCAGTAGAGACTCACCCTAACCACGAGAGGCAACCAAGGACTACACTGATAATCTATCTTGTTTTAGGAGTCACGTGGACTACACGGACCAACCATGGAAAAGGAGGTGTTTTGTTTTCCCTGACAGGTAGAGGAGTTTTGTCAGGTCCTGATTATATGCAAAGCTCCGGCCATCATTTTCTAACTGTCCTCTTAGACAAGGAGTAGGTAAAGTTTAATTTCTGATGATAGGTAGCAGGGGTTTTTGCTCATCTATGGCTCTTGTTGGAGGACTGCCAGGGAGGGAGAAGCTACTTAGGCAGGACAGGTGGCTTGCACACAGAGCTATGACCTGTTCTTGGTGTCGGACAGTGCTTAATACTCCTGGCTTAGGTAATTTATCTGGTTCAGCTTTTTACTGATGGATATTTAGGTTGTTTGCAGTTGTTTACATCTAGGTTTTGTGGAGCTTGAGGCTTATAAAATCAGAAAAATATCATTAGTGCCACAATATAGTTAGTTTTGGTTATTGTGTGTATTATATGTTTGTATTGTTGTCTTATGTACTTGTGTATTTATACATAACACTTTCTATTTGGTCGACTTTCTTCAGGCAGGGTAGTAGTTAAGAGGAGGGATTCAGGATTTGTGCTGCTTGGGCACTAATACCAGCCTTTGTGTTATATCAGTTGTATGCCAAAACCCTCATCTTTTCTATGCCTTTCCCATGTATAAATGGAGGTAATAATAATTCATGGTAATGATCATATGAATTTAAGCACATATTAAAAACACTCAAATGCTAACTATGTCACCCTGTTATTTTTCAGATAGTCATGTATGGTATTTAGCTGGTTTGCTTTATAATACCACATCATTTGAAGATAAAAAGAGTAAACCATTGTTACTGTTGTGTTTGCACATACACCCCGTATAATGGCATGATGGGGAAGAGCACTTGGAAATTAGCAAGTAGCTCATATATTTGCTATGTCTTTGATATGTAAACTGTAATTACTAAAATGTATTTCTCCTTCACTTAGTTCCCTTACTCATAACTTTTCTTAAAGAGAACTAGTGACAAGAAAAGGGAAATGCTTTCTTCAAGCAACTTCATTCTTTTCAGTCACTGTCTCTCTCGCTTTGACATCTGTCTAGTAAAACTTCCGTTCCTTGACGTCGTTTGTTTCTTATTTCCCTCGTGTTTAAGAGAGTTGCTGAGGCAAAAACTGACATCAGTAAAGAACTGCTTAAGTGAGTGATTGAAAAGAGAAGAGAAACTCAAGATAGAAGGGATGAGACAAAGGTCATAGAGGCCAGAAGCTAACAGCGGGAAAGAGGAGACTGGTGACAGAGCCCCGCCCATCGTCTCTCCTCCTCCTCCTCCTCCTCCTCCTCCTCCTCCTCCTCCTCCTCCTCCTCCTCCTCCTCCTCCTCCTCCTCCTCCTCCTCCTCCTCCTCCTCCTCCTCCTCCTCCTCCTCCTCCTCCTCCTCCTCCTCCTCCTCCTCCTCCTCCTCCTCCTCGTCCTCCATCCCCTTTGCCATTCACCTCTGTGGCCCTTTCATTGCTGGCCCATTCTGTTTGTTTTACTTCTTTGTTTTCTTTTTATTATCTGAATATAGTGGTATATTTTCAAGCCTAACTAGTCTGTCACTGTTTGATCAGTCTGTAGACGAAGATTTAAACTGAGGTTTGTGGTTTGACTCGTTAAGCATTACTGTGGTTCTTTTTCAGAATCTCATTATTGAATTACCCTTTCCTATTCTGATGATGGACAGGACAGTGTGGGGAGCTGGCTCTTGCCCTGTGACACAGATGGGGTGGGAAGAGGTGGCTGGGCATGTTCTGGGGCTCTGTAAAATCACACGAGGCAGAGTTTTATAAACAACAAAGCACCATGTATTACTTACTTAACTTATATACAGTTGTTTAATAGTAACTTGAGACCTTTAGTTGAAATACAGGTTTCTTTTTTTCTATATTACAAACTTTTTAAATAATGTTTATTTTTTGATAATTATTGTAGCTGTAGTATGAAGTATACTTTGGAAGGGAATTGTAATTTTATTGCTTTGTTTTGTGGCCTGAAATTTGAACTATTTTGGAAAAGGTCCATGTGATAATGGAAAGAATGCATATTCTGTAGTTGTTGGATGGAATATTCTGTACATATCCGTTTAGTTCATTTGATACATGATATAATGTAACTGTGTTTGTTTGTTTGTTTGTTTTGGTCTGGATGAGCTGTCTGTTGGTGACAATGTGGTGTTAAAGGATCCACTACTACTGTGTTGAAGCCTAGTTTTTTCTTTATGTCCTGTAGTTGTAAGTGCTCAGATTTTCAATGCCTATGTATTTCCCTGTGCATTGTTCCCTTTGTAAATATGTTGTAATATTCTTTGTCTCTTTTGATCAGCTTGGGCTTAAAGTTGATTTTTGTTGCATGTGAGTACAGTTCATCTGTCTGATGAGGATTTTGTGTGCTTGCCATCGTTGTCTAAATTCTCAATTTCAGTCTGCATGTTTTTGTTGATAGGGTGAGTTTCTTGCGCTCAGCCAACTGTGGTTCTTGTTTTATAATCCAGTTAGCCACCCCCTGTCTTTTAATGAAATAATTGAGTCTACTTATATCTAGAATTATTATTCAAAGGTAATATATTAATTTCTGTCATCTTTGGACATCTTTCCAGCTGTTTTGAGTAGATCATGTTCATTAGTTTTACATTATACATCTTACAGTTTTTATCGTTTACTGAGTTATGTAGGATGCTGTATAATGCTGTTTTACTGGTGTTGGTTTCTTTTGACTTATGTTAATTTTGGAAAGTCTTTGTTTCTCTTTTCATTTGTGGGATGCTGGGTTCTGGTTATAGCAATTGTGGTTTATTGCATGTGCTCCTTACTGGCCTATAGAGTTTCCTCTGAGAAATTTCCTGTTATTCTAATGGGTCTGTGACTATAAACTACTCAGTGCTTCTCTTTTGGAGCTTTTTCTTTTTTTTTAAGATTTATTTATTGTGTATACATGCATGCCAGAAGAGGGCACCAGATCTCATTACAGGTGATTGTGAGTCACCATGTGGTTGCTAGGAATTGAACTCAGGACCTCTGGAAGACCTGCCTGTGCTCTTAACCTCTGAGCCATCTCTCCAGTCCCCTCTTAGAGCTTTTAATGTTCTCTCTCTGTTGTGTTCTCTTGGTACCTTAATTATAATATGTTCAGGAGAGGTTCTTTTTTTTTTGTTTTTGTTTTTGATTTTTTTTTTGTTTGTTTTTACGAGATAGGGTTTCTCTGTATTGTTTTGGAGGCTGTCGGTCCAGCCCGGCCTCGAACTCACAGAGATCTGCCTGCCTCTGCCTCCCGAGTGCTGGGATTAAAGGCGTGCGCCACCAACGCCCAGCTTCAGGAGAGGTTCTTTTCTGGCCACGTCTACCTGAGTTTCTAAATACCTCCTGTATGGGGATGTCCATGTTTGCAAATTTTCTATATTGTTTCACTTCTTAGTGTTTGAAAATCTCATACATGTGTGTCTTGATCATATCAGCCCCTCAGCCTCCTTTTAACTCCCTCCATGATCTCATCGTAGTAGCACTGTTACTCACTTTGGTAGCTACAGGAACTCTTTATATTATCACTGTTACTGTCCTTGATACCTAGAACTCATCATATTAGCACTGCTACCTTGGTAGCTATATTAGCACTGCTACTTCCCTTGGTAGCTATGCTGTTTTTAATGACTTCCTCCAGCCCTAATACTTGTGGTATAGATTCTAGAGATTAAACCGGTCATCAGGTGCCTCTACCCTTTGACCTTCTTGCTGACCCATTTTGTTTATTTTGCTTCGTTTCCTTTTTTATTATATGAATATAGTGGTATATTTTCAAGGCTAAGTAGTCTGTCACTATTTGATCAGTTGTAGATGAAGGTTTAAACAGATTTTTTTGATTCATTGAGCTTTTAATATTCAGCATTACTGCTATTCTTTTTCAGGATCTTATTATTGAATTGCTCTTTGCTATTCTATATTACATTCCTTAATTTAGTCAGCTGTTTATATCCTCTTTAAATTCTTGATCATTTTTAAAATCAAAATTCTTTGCCTAGCATGTCATTCATTTAGATGTCTAGATTTATACTTCTGTAGAGCTGTGTAAATGTAAAGAAAGTCTCTCTTACACTCTTTAATGTTTTTATTAGCATACATTATAATATTGATGAGGTTTTATGGCATTTCATGTATGTATGTGTTGTTGCAAAGAGTGTGTCTCCAGCGAGGGCGCTCTGGCTCGTTTTCCACTGGTCAGCAGTGTGTTTGAGGGGAAGGGAACAGTTCATAGTCAATCCCTGCAGGTGCTGTTTATCCCGTCATTTGTTGCTGTGCTGTTGCTAAGTGGTGGATGTGGAACAGGACCCTAGGTTCCCTCTAGTTGTGGCTTCCTGGAGCTGGCTTGTCAGCTGGGGGTTGTTGTGTCCTTTATCTGTAATGTGTGGGAAGCTTTGGCTGGGATTAGGTCATGGGTAGAGGGTGAAGAACAGTTTTTCTCAACTGGGTGATGTGGGGCTCAGCAAAAGCCCCTCCTCAAAGTGGTTGAGGAGCTGACCTCAATCCCAGTGGTGTCCAGAGAGGAGAAACAAGCTGCATAGGTTCAAATCAGATGCAGAAATTCTGTGTGAGCCAACTAAGAACAACGGCCACAGTGCCAATGAGGGTAGAGAAGAAGGGCAAACGGAACACAGATCCTAAATGTTCAGAAGTGGTAAAATAAAGCAAGGGAAGAAATGGAAGAATGTGTGAGAAAACACGCCAAAGAGAGGGAAAACGAGTTAAAAATGAATACAGTTAGATAAAAGCAAGAAAATAGTGAGGAAAATGGAAGTGTTTGAGAAGACTTTGTTGTCAAGGTCCTTGGATTGCAGAAGCTTCTGGACTCTAATAACTGGGGGCGAGTGGGCATGGCGGGGAGGCATGGCGGGCCTGCTGTAGTGAGTTCCGCTGGCCAGTCTGAAGACACGCTGTGCTGGCAGGGTTGTCTGTGTTCACTCACTCCACAGGCTTACCTGTTAGTACCACAGCCCCAACTATCTTCACATGTGCGTGGGCTAGGCAGGCACACTCACTCCAGAGACCCCTGGTGTGTGTGCCAGAGGGCATGGTAAATGTCCAAGACAAGGGTAGTTCTGAATGAGTGGGGGAGGGAATGCTTGTTGGGCGGATGTGTGGGGGTGGAGGCACATGGAATGTGGTGGCCTTCCTGCCTTGGTGTCAGCACTCAGACATGGCCAAGCTGATGCACATGCAGTTGCTGTCACTTCTTTCGAGGGCAAGACACCCTGACTACTGTTCCCTCTGTGGTTCTCACTCTGTTGTTAGGTTTGTGACAGAATCTCTCTCCATTTTACAGCTGTGACTCATGGCATCCCCCATCTTGTCCCTGCCACATGGCAGAGTGGCCCCAGGACCCCTGCCTTGTGATTATCTTAAGTGTCTTGATGCCCTGAGTAGTTTGGTTCCTGAGGGCAGGAGCCTTCTCCAGATGGCACCTCCTTGTCACACCCTGAGGGATGGGAAACTGCAGGGTTCTTCTCTGATGTTGTCCCCTAATTCAGGGGCCATTTGGAGACTTTACATCCTCCACCTCCTGACAGACTTGTGGAAATGTGGGTTTGTTCTCTGCTAGGGCTGCAGCTCTTGTTATCTTTGGGTTACCTGCATTTTCCACCACCTTGTGCAGAAAGGAGGCCTTGGGTCCTAACTCTGCTGGGCAGCTCTGGTAGGTGATCATTGTTACCTTTCTGGGAAGTGGCAGACACATCTTCTTCCCAAGAGATGTTAACCCCCTGTTATTGGCTCTTCCTGCTCAAGCATCCCTCAATGTCTTGCTTTGAAAGTGTGAAGGTAAGTTTTAATATGATATAATAGGGGTGTGTGTGTGTGTGTGTGTGTGTGTGTGTGTGAGACAATGAATGAACGAATGAATGAATGTGTTTATGGTAGAAATATTTCCATTAGGAGTGAATCCTTTTTATTCATCCATAAATTACTTGGTCTATGAGTACATATTAATTTTGTGTATTAAATTATCTTTGACTCTAATACAGAGGATACTTCTAAGTTAGTATAATAGGTGATCATAGTAGTTTATTGTTAGTTTCATCCACCAAAGTACTGATTCTCACTTTTTTAAAAAATAAAATAAATGTAGTAGAATCTGTTATAGAAGATTGTTATGAATAAATAAGGTAATATATGCAAAATAAACAGATTAACACCCTACAAAAATGTAGTTAATTTATAATATATGTAATGTATTATTTCAGTTTTCCCCAAAAAACAATGCTAATGAAGCAGTTGTTTTAGTGCCAGAATTACAGATGAGAAAGTAAATTTTGTGAACTGAAGAATTTTCTGAGTCTCAGATAAAAGAATAAAGCCAACATGCAAATGTTTGTTATTCTGAAAACAAAAAAGTGTGGATTTTTTTACAAAAGCATCCTTTTTCCTAGGACATGATACATATTTAGTGCCTTTTATCTTTACTGGCTCCCTCCCCCCCTTGCACACCTGTAATCCCAGGGAGACAGGTGGATCTCTGTGTTTGAGACTTGGTCTACACAGTGAGTTTCAGGACAGCCAGGGATACAGAAACCCTGTCTACAGACAGACAGAGGAATAAGACTCCAGACACTCTGTTCCCAGAGAACTAACTTCTTGTCCAAGCTTACAGACTCTAATCATAGATGTGTGTCTCACTCATACCCGTAGACTCTATGTCACACATGCTTACACCCAGACTCTCACTTTGAGGACTGAAATGCCTTCTATGCCATCCAGTAGAAAGTAAAGGGGCCATGTTTCTGTTTGGCATTTGGAACATGGTCAATGCAACCAAGGAACTGAAATCCCATCTTAAAGCAGATTACAGGTGGCTGCTGGTTTGGGCTTTGAGACCTCAGATGTTTGCATGTTCTCTGGGTATATGCAGACCAGCAGTTTTAGTGTGCTATTGGTAATGGCACCCCTCCTTCCAGGTTGAAGACTTTAGCAGAAGAGCTTGCACAGACACAACAGATGCTTTTAAGCAAGGAGGAGGCCGTCCTGGAGCTAGAGAAGAGGATTGAAGAATCTTCCGAGACTTGTGAAAAGAAGTCTGAGTGAGTAGCAGAAAGACCATCAGAAAGAATACAGGCTAAGGGATGCAGTTTTGCAGAAATGCTTATTACATGCTGTTGTGGATATGGCATTTCCAGAAATGGAAGTTCTCATGTTAAAATGGGGTGATTTTATGTACTAATATCTCAGGACTCTGGAAAAATTGTTCCTGTATTTCTGTGAAATGTGATGTCTGATGGCTAGTTTCATGCCAACTTGATACAAACAGAGTCATCTTAAAAGAGGGAAACTCAACTAAGAAAATGCCCCCACCAGACTGGGGGCAAGCCTGATTAGGGATTGCTGTGGGAGGGCCTAGCTCACTGTGGCAGTGCCACCCCTGAACTGCTGAGCCTGGGCGTGATAAGAAAGCAAACCGAGGAGGTCATGCAGAGCAAGCTTGTATGTAGTGCTCCTCCGTGGATAAGGAGTGCTCCTCCGTGGATAAGGAGTGCTCCTCCGTGGATAAGGAGTGCTCCTCTGTGACTTTTGTGTCAGCTCCTGCTTCCAGGTTCCTGCCCTGCTTCAATTCCTATCTGACTTCTTCAGTGATGGGCTGTTACCTGGAAGTGTCAGCAAAATAAGCCCTTTCTTCCTCAAGCTGATTTAGGTCATCACAGCATTAGAAACCCTAACCAAGACAGATATGTCCCAGAAAAGTGGGGTTGTATTTGTCGAAGTCTTCATGTTTTAACAGTCTCAACTACTTCACGAGGAAGCCTTTGTTAAAAGCTGTCTTTGTTCTTCCACATTTTTTTTACGACTTACTGTAAATCCCTTTGTAAAATAATACAGGGAAGTGTTATCTAGAAATTGGCTGCTATGTTAAAAGGCATCAAATATATTAATTAGAACACACTGATATACTTTGCATATAGAAGTCAACTTCATGTTTACTCTGTCCCCCCCAACCCCCCCTCCCGTTGTTTGTCTAGCTGATTTCTGACTTAGAAATATCTTTCTGGGTCTTTGGATTTTACTTGTCTTAGTACATTTCTGCCTTTTGGTAGATAGGTGTACTCGCTCATGCATGCAGATACAAGAACCTGTGTTAGATGTATCTACCTGTTCATGTGTGCAAGTACAAGAATATGTGTTAGTTGTGTGTACTCTCTCATGTGTGAAGGTGCAAGAATGTGTGCATCTGTGTTTCTTGGTAGATGTGTGTACTTGCTCATGTGTGTACATACAAGAATGTGTGCATCTGTGTGGAGACCGGGGTTTGATGTCAGATGTTAGCCTCAGTTGCTCTCCACCTTATTTTTAGAGGCAGGGTCTCTCTCAATGGGTTGGAACTCAGTGGACTGGCCAACAGCCCCCAGGGAGTCTCTTGACTCCCTAGTAGTGGGATTATATAGGCTCTTATATTCTTGGCTTTACTATTTTAATTGAATTTATCCTTTAGTAAATTATATGCATGAATATGGTGTATCTAGATTATATTGACACTTGTTGCTCTTCTTTGGTTCATCTCACACTACCTTATCCTCTCCCAATGTCCTGTCTTCTTGTTACTCTCTTTTTCTCCATCCCCCCCACTCACCCGCTCACTCAGTCAGAGCTGCTGGTATGCACATAGGTGTAGAACACCACCCAGTGGCCCATGGACAGCCTAGCACACTGCTGCAGAAGACAGCCATCAGTTACCGAGCAGCTCCTTAGCTAGGGGTGAGGCCTTCCTTCTCCAGACTGGAGTGTTGGCTGCCTGATCTTGGCAGGTCCTGTGCTGTCAGCCACAGCTGCCGTGAGGCCATGAGTGTTCACAGGAAATAACGTTGCAGCAGTCTTGCCTGACTTCTGACGTACACTATTTCTGCTCCCTCTCCACAGTGTTCTCTGGGCCTTGTGAAGGAAAGTGTGTGACCTGGATGTCCTGTTTAGGACTGAGCATTCCATGGTCACATGCTTTGACTGGTTGTTTGTATTAACAGCCATCCACCTCTGGTGAAGAGTGACAGTTACACCAGTCTATGAGTGTGAGGATATGTATTTAGGGGGGATGCCACTATCGCACATATGGGTGTTCCTGTCGGGTTGGCCATTATTATAGCTCACAAGGTTCACAGCAGTGTCAGCCTGTTGCTGGGTTTTCTCATCCAACAGCCTGCAAAGTGTGATACTGCACTGTTAACCTACCCAACAGGAAGGAAGCTTCAGGTTCGTCACAGCATGATTTCTCTATGTTCTGTGATCACAGTTGGTGACGGTTTTTAGCAACAGGATTTTATTATCAAGTTTCAGTGGGGTAACCAAGAACAGTTCCAATAACCTGTTTTTGTGGGTGCTGGGATTGAACTCAGGTCCTCATGCTGTATGCCCGAACTTTACCAATTGAGTCATATCTCATCTGTCTCTCTCTGTCTGTCTTTGTCTCTGTCTCTCTCTCTCTCTCCATGTATGCATGTATGTGTATGCATATGGAACCAAAGTTTAATGTTGGTTATTCTGAATCTTTCCATTTCATTTGTGGGCTTGATTTATCTATCTATCATCTATCTATCTATCTATCTATCTATCTATCTATCTATCTATCTATCTACTAAGACTCCTCCACTGAACCCCCCATTAATTTGGGTGTGCTGGCTGGCCAATGGGCTCTAGGAATCCTCCTGGCCCCTTGCCTCCCCGACCCAGCACTGAGGTTGCAGATGCACTGTAATACCCTGGCTTTTGTGTGAGGCTTGGGATGGGAGCTCATGTTCCGGTGCTTGCAAGGAGGGCACCGTAACCCTCACCTCTCCTAACCTGTGCGTCCTCTGTGTTACTGATATCGCTCCGCCTGGTCTCCCCAGTGCTGACTGCACTGTATAATCCTCTTGCTCTCAAACCCTCATTACTGCTCTCAGATCTCAAAGCGCTCACGGGTTTTGTAATGTGCTAGATCTCTCTGATCTACACTTGCTAATATTTTTTGTTCTAACTTCTCAAAGATTCTCTACTACTGTCAAATTTCTAATCTTCTCACTTGGTTTATTGTTGTCAGTATATGAGCTTCTGTATCACAGAAAACTCTAAAGCATTAAATGGCTTTGTCCTTGTTTGGGAGGAACCATATACCTGAACTTACACACATTTCCTCTTAGCACCCATCCTTAATGCCCATCTTTTCTTCTTACAACAGAGTCTACTTGTTCTAAGTTGTTTCTTGTGATCTATAGAGTACTACCATCTTTTACTTCCCCAGAACGTTTGTATTGTTTTATATATTTTATTTACCCTCGTCTTCCTCCCAACTGGGTCCTCATACTCACTTTTTCAGCATTTGCTCCAGAATCACCAGTCTTTAGTCCCACCCTCCCCGTCTGTCTCTGAGGTGCTGAGGACAGGACTCGCCACACCTGCAGGGCAGGGCTGTGCTGTCACTCACTTGTACCTCCATGCGGAAGCCCTTTTTCCCTCAGCATTTCCCCCCTCTCCCCTTGACCTTCTCGACTAGGAGTCCTTCTCACTCATTTCCTCAGCTAACCCTAATTTTCAGCCCACATTAACTAGCTCTTGCCCCCTTACCGAGTAAATCAGAATCTCAGAGGTTACCCATGACCTGGAATAGGGTGGCTGTCTTTCTGGACCTCTTAGTCACATCTGACTTAGCTTTTGAAATCCACGATGTCAAGATCACCCCTGTTTGTGTCACTCTTGCTAGCAAACGTTGGTAGGCTGGGTACCTCTTGTCTGGGTGACCTGAAGATGACTTCTGCATATTATTATCATTTACAGCAGCCTTCTTGGTATGACTGAAAGTCATAGAGGCACTCACACCTCCCCGTCCAAAGCTGAGATGATCTTCATGTTCCTAGTGCAGCTTCCTTTCCTAGTTGGCTCAGTAGCCTTTATTCAGTGAATGCCAACATCATCCATCTTGTTCTACCACAGAAAATGGACATTTTGATGCCACGTTTGTTTCTACAAATACTGTACAAAAGATGCTTCCAAATATTTAAACATTTCCCCACTACTTAAGAAGCATTGAGTAGTTTCCTTACCTCTAGACTGTACAAGGTCCATTTCCCTGCCTTCCCAGTCATCAATTTTTTTTCCGTACAAACATTCCCACCCCACTGAAATACAGCTGGCTCTCAAGTCTTTCCTGATGACAGTTTAGCCGAGGTTTGCAGTCTTTATTCACCATGGAGCAGAAGAGTTTTCTTTTGCCTGGATCAGGTTTTCCTGCATTGTTTCTTTTTGCTCTTCAGCACCCCTCCTATTCTGGTTTTCCTTTGAAAATGTGTCCCCTGCAGTTCGCGGTGCTGCCTCCTCACACGTGCGTGGGGGCGTGTGCCGTTAATGGCCCCGTAACGCGGCTGCTGTAGAGCTGGGGCGTCCAGCTGCAGTATTGGCCTCTAGCAGCCCAACCCGGGGGACATACATGGTACATGCTAGTCCCGTAGCGAGACCTGTCCAGGCAGGACACCCTGGAACAGAGGAACCCACAGGTAGGGGTGGAGCTGGCCTCGGACTTCATCCAACCTCCTGCGGAGGCCCTCCAAGCCAGTAGAATTTTCGGGAGTTAGAAGGGTTAACATGGCCGGGGTTTCACGGGTGCATCCTAGCGAGCCGGCTCATGTAGCCTTTGTCATCCTGAGTACTTATTGCTAGCTTCAGCGTACAGTATTAAAATATGAAGTCTGTTTATGCCGCCCTCTGCCGTCCCCGTGTGTCCTGACTGCTATTAACCCACCTCCTTTTGTGCAGATCCCTTTTCTTACCCAAGTGGAGTCACGTTGTGTGTCTCTTTTTGGGATTGGCATCTAACACTTCCTCGGAGTTCCTTCAGGTGCTTTTATTCTGTCTCCAGCTGCTGTAGTAAAGTCGATAAAAGCAGCACATACTTTCTCTCTCACAGTTCTGGCTACCTAAGGTTGAAATATGCTATAAATAAATGATCCTCATTAAGGCCATTCTAAAAGACGTCTGACCATTGTAATATGTATTTCCCCAATGACTAATGTAGATCATTCGTTCAGTGTGCCATTTTGTCATCTCTGTATCTTTTGTATTGAAATTCCTGCCCAACTTTTTCCTATTCTTTAATTTGCTTGCTTTATTTTTTTTTATTATGGTTGGATTATTTTTTTTTTACTTTTGAGTTTATTCTTTTCTCCCCTCAAAATTCCCTTCTTGCTCTCTTTCAAATTCATGGCCTCTTTTTTTCACTAATTGTTCTTACATGTATATGTATATGTACAAACACACACACACACACACACACATAAATAAAACCGCCTCTCAGTCTGTAGAATATTCTTTGTGTGTGTATGTTTTCAGGCCTGGTATTTGGTGCTGGATAACCAGTTGTTGTGCTCTTCCTAGAGAAGACTGTTTCACCCACTCTCAACATCCCTTAGTTGCATGTAGTTCTTTGTACAGGGTTGATGCCTTGTGGGTTTTTGCCTTGGTTGACTTTGGTTTGTCTATTGTTGTTGTCCTTGTTCATCTCTTGTTGGTGAGAATTTATGGACATTACTAGGAGACACAGTCTCACAATAAACTCCCCAATCCTCTGGCTCTTAAGCCTTGTCCTTCTCCTCAGTGTTTCCTGAGCTTTAGGAGTGGAAATGTTTTGTAGACATATCCATTCATACTGGACTCCATAACTGCATTTTGATTGGTTATGGTTTTCTGTAATGATCTCTGTTGCAAAAAGAAGTTTTCTTTGATGACAGGTGAAGGCTACACTTATCTGTGGGTATAAGGACAAATACTTAGAATATAGTTAGGGATTCTATTGGTTTAGTAAAGTACCAGTTGTAGATTCTCTTCCAAAATCCATGACTTCACTAGCTCGATGACCAGGTTTCTGGTACCATGATTTCCCTCTTGTTGAATGATCCAATTAGTCATCTGTTGATTACTGCCAAGGTATGCATACTACTAGTGTACTGTTAGGATTGTTGTGCTATGCTGAGTGTTGATGTAGTTCATTGGCATCATAACTTGGTAAGATTTGGTTGTTCTACTCCGTTGGAAGTTTGCCTGATGCCTTCTGGTACCCTGAAAGCTAGTCCTTGGGGAAAAGACATTCAAGTCAGTTCCAGCTTGGGCTGCTGACCCTGGGTCTGAAGTTATTAGTGTCTTCAGTAATAGGAACTTACCTTAATTTCTGAGGGCAACCAAGAGCAGTAATAGCAAAAAGTTGTGTTTTGGGAGTCTCCTGGACGACCCTAAGCAACAACTCAAAAGAGGGCTGCTTATGCCTAGTGTTAATGTTTTTGTTAGATGATCTTCAGCTCTTGGATGAAGCATTGTCAGCCCAGATGTGAAAATTTCATCTAAGCTATACGCATATATTCATAGCCTTATGTATATTATAGTATCTTTTAGGTAGTTGGTAATAAGACTTTTTCCAAGATCCTTGCTATTATTTTACCCTCTTGTATAAGGGGATCATTGTTTTTGTTTGGTGTTGGCCCTACCATCAAGAGTGGTTAGTCTACCCAGTGAGATTTTATTGGAGAAAATTGTTTTCCTTGGCAGATGTGTACCAATTACAGATGGCTTCCTAGTTATGGGTGAACCCATGTACATTCCCCCTCTCTGGGACCCTGTCTGGCTTGAATCTCTGCAGCCCTGTATCTGCTACCACAGCCTGTGTGAGTTTGTTACTATAAACACACACTTAATTTTCTTTATGTGGCGATTTGGTTAACATTTACAACATTTTGCAACTATTATCCCTTACATATAAGTTTATATTTCATTATTGCAAAGCTTATTTTCTTTTTTCTTGCCCTGTGCAATTCCCCTTTTTAATTATTTTCTTCTGTGTTTCTCTGTTAGTCTTTATGTAACACTACTGATTCAGTGCTTTTAGAGTGTTACTTTTAAATATATCAAATAATTTTGCCAACAGGTGATAAATCATTTTTGAGTGATCTTCTGGATGTATATGAAATTGCATTGTGACATCTTACCGGATATATTTAGAATCTTTTCTTGTCCTGTTGTCATAGGTTTGTGTGTTAGGAAGAAACCTCCACAAAGTTTAAAAAGTATAGTGAATATAATCGTTTCCAGGGTCTGCTAATATTTTTTCCTCACAAAAATGATTGTCTTAGAAATTAGCATTCTCTGAATGGATTTTCTGCGAACTAGAAGTGCCAGTTTATTGCAAAAAAAAAGCAATTATCAACTAATACGCTAGCCAGCATGAATTTTCCAAGAAATCTGTATAGATTTTAAAAATAGGTCACAGATTTACTGAATGATGATGATGTACATGGTAATTATCACTTATTAAATTCTGCTGTTTAGAGCCATCTGTCTTCTGGACATTTCTAGGTCTTTTGCAAATGCTCTTTATCATAAGTTTTATTTCCCCCCAACTTCACATTGTTCTTTGAAATTCCTTGAACTGTTACTGAGACCAGCATTCTTCACTGTGGTTGCTGAGGCTGTGACCTGCTCACTTAGATTGGAACTGAAATCTCAAAACAGAAGAAGATACAACTTAAATAGCTTTGTGTGGGTTTCTCTGTGTGTATCCTGGCTATGTTTGGATCTTATAAGTCAGTTACCTCACTATCTAATTCTGAAGCATTTCCTGATTTCCAGTCTGTTGTCATGTATCTATTAATAACTTAGCACAGTGCATGGTACACTTACTTTTAAGGTATCAGTACTGTGTACTTATGGGGTAGACCTTCTTGCCAGCACTTTTTCTTTCTTTCTAGTGGCCTTCCTGTGGGAGAATTGGCTTGTAGTTCCCATTGTGGGGGTTCCAGAGGGTGAGGGGCAGGAAAATTTGTTGTCTCCGTTTTGTTCATAGGAGAAAGATTTGTAGACTTACGCTCATTCGGTCAGGTCATGGTTAAGTATGAATCCCTGCCATGTTAACTTTTGCTTACTCGAAACACACATCACAATATACCCAGAGCTCAGTGCTTAATTTTATTGATTTCAGCCAAGGAGCATGTCATAATTTAAATGTTCAATTCTTGAGATTTGAGATTAACTTAATATTTTGATTTTTGTCTTTTTTTCCAATCAGTTTAGGGCCTATATTTCTAAACCTAGCTCCTGGTAAGGTAGATAGCTTATGTATAACACAACATAGGTGTCATAGACCATAGTTTGTTTGAAAGTGTCTTGAACTTTTTTGTTACTCCTGACATCTAGTAACCATTGTTATTAAAATCTGTTTTAATATTTTCCATGATTCTGAAGGAGTGCTATAGAAGAAGATGAAAATTTACAAAAATGTAATCACACACACACACACACACACACACACGGAGAGAGAGAGAGAGAGAGAGAGAGAGAGAGAGAGAGAGAGAGAGAGAGAGAGAGAGAGAGAGAACCATATGAACACAGAGACATACAGACACACACACACACACGGAGAGAGAGAGAGAGAGAGAGAGAGAGAGAGAGAGAGAGAGAGAGAGAGAGAGAGAGAGAGAGAGAGAGAGAGAGAACCATATGAACACAGAGACATACAGACACACACACAGTTTTCCATTAATACTTTGGCTTCTTGTTGAGTTGACATAATGTGTTTTTATTTTCTTCTGTCGCAGCATCGTGCTTCTTCTGGGCCAAAAGCAGGCACTTGAAGAGTTGAAGCAGTCAGTCCAGCAGTTGAGATGCACTGAGGCCAAGTGTGCAGCCCAGAAAGAATTGCTGGAGCAGAAAGTGCAGGAGAACGATGGGAGAGAGCCGCCTCCCGTGGTGAATTATGAAGAAGATGCACGGTCAGTCACATCGATGGTAAGCGCCCGAGCTGACCGCTGCCGACAGGGAGTCTCTGGGTAGTAAGTGAGCAGGGAGCTAATTCTGCGTTGCTATAACAAATTGTTAACTCTTGTTAACATACAGGTCCTATTAAACTTATTTCTAAGTGCAGAATAGACTGTCAGTCACCTCAGGTCACCTGGAGAGCATTTCAGAGGACAGAAACCTCTTCTCTTGCCTTCAAAGCTGAAAGGACAGACCGCAGTTGTTTTTATCCCTGGGAGACAGCAGGAAGGTAGGGTATAATCGAAAGGTAGAAGCAAGAATGAGGAGAAAGCAATTCCTTGACGTTTCTTCAGAACTGAGAAACTCTTTGTTTGCCTTAGATTGATCGTGCATTTAATAGTGCATTTACTTTTTTCACAGTATAAAAAAAGATTTAGCTTAAATTTTTCATCCTTAATATGTTAAGATTTACAAACTTAAAATTCATTAATTTTAGTTTTATTATCTGTTTAGTGCCTAATACATATCAGTCTGTCTGTGTATCTACCTGTCCACCTACCTACCTACATCATCTATATGTCATCTGCGTTGGTAATTATTACTAGGGAGCAATCTTGCTCCCTGGGGACATGTTGCAGAGTCTCTAGACTTTTGTGTCACAATGACCAGTGGATACTCTCTACAACCTGTTCAACATCCTATTATGCATAGAATAGCCCCTTCTTCATATCCCCAGTGAAAGCTATCCAGGCCAACTTCAGGAGTGCAATGTTGTTTTCTCTGGGCAGCTCGATGTATTCCATAGATGGAAGTATTTGCATGAAATCATTTATAGTCAGCATTTCAGTAACTTCCCACGTTATATGGTCTTAAATAATGTAACATGTTAAGTAGATCTAAATGTCTCCATAGGCCGTATTTAACCCTGCAGTAACATAGAAATGAATACGAAGTACTTGAATATTAATAGTCATTGCTGCTTTTGTTGTTAAGTGAACTCTGCCAACGCACACATCACTTTGCGCACTGTGGTTTGTTCTCCACTGTCTTCCCTTCTGCCAGGGCCTGAGCACAGGTCCCCGGGATTCTCTCTTCTCCTTCGTGGTTCTTTTGGACATACGTATTCCTTCAGAGGAGTTTACATTCTTTTCTTTCACTTGGCTTTTGAAAACCTTTCTTTCTTTCTTTCCTTCCTTCCTTCCTTCCTTCCTTCTTTCTTTCTTTCTTTCTTTCTTTCTTTCTTTCTTTCTTTCTTTCTTTCTTTCTTTCTTTCTTCCTTTTCTTTTCTTTTCTTTTGGTTTTACGAGACAAGGTTTCTCTGTATTGTTTTGGAGGCTGTCGGTCCAGCCCGGCCTAGCCTCGAACTCACAGAGATCCGCCTGCCTCTGCCTCCCGAGTGCTGGGATTAAAGGCGTGTGCCACCACTGCCCGGCTCTTTCATCTTTTCTTTAATTATGGTTTGTAATATTTCTTTGTCTGCATAGGAGTGTGGAATTGGCTAATTACTTGATGTTTTGACGGTCTTAGTTATAATACTGTATATTTAAGTAACAATGTGCATATAGCTTAAGATAGTATTAGTATGGTAGAATACAAAGCAGTTATTCGAGTTGCCAGATAATAGCTAGTCACAATGGATAGCTATAATTTAAAAACCTGGCTTTTAAAAATTTGTGACCCTTTAGAGTTTAATTCTTAAGTTATTGCACAAAAGATGCTTATTGATTCAATGGAATAAAGAGATTTTCGTAGTGAGTGGATAATAAAGTTTAAGAAAATGAGCTGCTCTTTTCTTACACCATTTATATGATTTATAACCAATGATACTACTACCTTGCTAGTTTTACATAGTGCTGCTTGTTTTGTCTTCAATTTATTTTCAATAATTGAAATAGTAATTGTAAGTGTCTCTCATATTGAAACAATGCCTTTAGTACATTTGTAATTAAAAGAAGTTTTGCCGTGTGATGGTGGCATTCACTTCTTCCAGTGCTTGAGAGGGTTAAGCAAGTGTCGGCAGGGTTAGACGTCATGAGAAGGAAGCGTGAGAAAGCGCCATCTCAGATCAGAGCAGACTGCTTTCCCTGAAAAACCTGTCCGGGTTCCAGAGGAACACTGTGCAAGATAACTTTACAAATTACTTAAGATGTCCCCCAAATTGATGTCAGTTAAATGTTGCAGTGTTTATGAGGAAGGAATGCATCTGATGCATAGTTCTTGTTAATACACCCACTTGTATTGGTGAATTCTTTGCATTCTTTGGCTCTTTTCAGCTAATATTTATAATATACACTTACAATTTAGTTGCAAATAAAAAACTATAAGGCATGAATGTTTTTTCCCAAAATGACTACTTAAGCATTGTCTTATGAATAGCATTATATGCTAGGCTGTGTGTGAAGGGGGAAAGGGCCTGAGGGCCAGGAGAACAAGAAGGGAAATGGGGGAAAAAAGAAGAGACAGTGTCATGTTTTCTCTCACGTGCTAGATCCAGATTTCAGTGTAACTACTGTCTGTCTGTCTGTCATCTGTATCCGCCTGCCTACTATATCTGTGCATCTATCTCCACTCCTCCCTCCTTCCCTTGTGTAGAGTAGGAGACATTAAAGCATAAGCGTACTGATGGGGGAGGAAAGGGCCAGTGGAAAGGACCAGAAGGGCAGGGGAAGAGGCCAGCCCCTTGGTGGACAGAGGACTTGTTTGTTTTGTCCTCAATTCTAGCTCGAGGGGTGAGAGCACCGTAGCCTGAGTCAGGTTAGGAGTGGGCTCTGTATGGCCCCCCTTACAGAGTTCTGCAGAGATCACAGTTTTCTGATAACCAAATAAACAAGTGCTGCTGGCTTTACTATTGGTTTACTAAACACCTTTCATTGTTTATTAACTGTTTAGTACTAGGACATAATAAGCTTTATTTCAGTGTCTGTAGAATTGAAGAATTAGAATTCCTTTTGACCCCAGAGTTACCTGCTTATTTTATCGCAGCTGTGAACCACATGCAGAGATTTTGATGGAAGTTCTACTTGTATATCAGATCTGTGTGTCTAGAGCTGAAGGCAACCACAGAATGCCTTCCTACTTTACCATGTGGTTAGCTCTCCACTAAGCGAACTGGCTTCACTTCGATACTTCTGAAATTAACATGTTGTGTAAAGCCCTTCTGATAGACTGGGAGACAACATGTACTTATCTTCTCTGCTTATACTGAGTTAGTTGAACAGCAGTAGTAATAGTCTGGCTATGCTACATTTTCAACCTGTGAAATATCTGACTTTATAAGAATTGCCCATCGTTATGTCTCAGTAGTGTTCCTCATGTTAGCATCTCCTGTTTCATTCCTATGCTGAGAACAGCAGACTGCTCTAAAATTAATGAAAGCATATTGACAGTGTTGTTGAGAGTTTCTCTTTGATCATTGTGAGGAATGCTTTCTTTCAAGCATGTGAGCCAGGCAGAGGGTCATGAAGCAGCCTCCCTTCATGGGTTCCACTCCAAGTTACTGCTTCCGTTCCACCTTCATTTTCCTTAGTGATGAAAGTGTAAGCCAGTGCTACGGATGAGCATAAACTTTATATCTTTACATATAGTTTTGCTTCAGTTTGTTGTAAAATATATCATTGGTATTTAGATGTAACTCCTGTTGGCAGTATAACTATTACAAATGTCTCTGTATTTCGATGTTAAAAGCCTTTTCCAATCTTACTAGTTATAAAACATTCAGTGTTTTTGACACCGATCAGGTCCCAGTGCAGGTGAAAAGAAGATTGCTTGGTGACTCTTACCTTGTTCACTCATGCTTGAATGACTTAAGTTAAATTCAGAGCATCACGAAAACAACAAGATACATTTTTATTCTGGCTGTGTATGTAATAGCATTATATAGAATTTATTTAACTGTAATAAATTTAGGTATCGTTAACACCACAGATGCCACAATAAATTATATGTCAGATTTTTTTTCATCTTTTCAAGGATTTGATTCTTGTATTATTTCTAGTAAGATAAAGTAAATACAGGATTAGACCTTTGAAAGACCCTGGCCCAGTCTAACAGGCAGCTGAAAGCTGAGGCTTATGGAAAATTCCGTTCCTCCACAGCTGCATAGTCATTGCCTATCAAAAGGAAGCTCAGCCCAAGGACACAGGCTGCCTGGTGGCAAACACAGAGATATCTGCAGGCGGCCAGATGGCCCGCTCAGCAAGGTTGAGCAAACACAGAAACCGATTGTTCCTCGGACAGGGCCAAGACTAGAGTTCCAAGAAAAACTTCAATTGCCCCGAACCCTAGCCTCATTTAAATTGTCCAATCAGGGTCCTGTTACTAAGCTTCTCACTTCTGTCCCGCGCTTTTTGCTATAAAAGAACCCCTGAGTCCCCAGCTCGGCGCGCTCAGTTCCCCGAGACTGAGACGCCCGGGTACCCGCATGTTACCAATAAAAGCCTCTTGCTGTTGCATCCAAGTTCGTGGTCTCGCTGTTCCTTGGGTACGGGCCTCCCTTCCGTGAAAGCATCTCTTCGGGGGTCTTTCACCTTGTGATCTTTTTCTCCTGTGTATTCATTGAGTGTTTACTCTCATCTTTCACTTGTATACTTGTGTTGGTGTGATAAAAAATATATTTAATCAGAAAGATTATTAAGCAGACCCCTATGTTGAGAGCAAAAACCATGAGTTTTTTTCTGTATTTTAAAGAAATGTAAGATTATACAAATATAGTTGTATAGACAAATTGATTCTGATTTTTCACTGGCAGTTTAACTTACCAACAGAAATTAATGCCTACACACTTTCCAGCGTTTGATGACAGCATACAATTTAGAGGTCTCATTTTAATTTAGTGGTTGCTCATTATAATTTAGAAAGTTGTACTATGGAATTAAATCATAATTGTTTCTATTTTGGAAATCATACTGTGCTTTTATGGTGATGGGATAATTAGTGCAAGCACTTAAGGTTTTGGTAGATGGAGAATAAAGCAAGCGCGATCTACCCAGATCATGAAAAGTACTGGCCTTGTGCTTGCCACAGGAATATGA